TACTTCAAACCACAGCGAACAACCCAAGTGGACACAGAAATGTAGTTAGCAGCCGTGCTAGCTATCCGCTCCTTTCCTGTATACGCTAGAACAGACACAAACAGCCTCTGCCGCGCATGCCCCGTGAAGACGTGACAGACATGCACTGTGGGAAGTGTATTTCAATTCAATGAAAACACAGTGTTACAAAACCCGAACCAGCGCGCTCATGTAAGTGGTTGTGTAAGGGGAAACGCCACGGGTTTCAGACGCCTGGCTGCTGCTGTCACGACGGCTACTCTGTCTGTTGTTTATTCGTTTAATTTCACGTTTTGTTGTCCACTCGAGCGGAGCCTGCATCATTTGAAGCTTCCCACCCTGTATGCTGCACTGTGTTTGGAGGAGGTATGTGTCCGTAGCTACGGAATCACTATAAACACGTTTAATTGAGCTTCCCCGTTGACTCAGTTCTTGTAGTTTGCAGTGTCGCTTTGTTCATAGAAAGTTTTCCAGTCTGTAACTGTTTTGCTCACATCTGCAAAAACTCTGAATTTTGAGTTTCGCTGTTTCTATACGATTTCCTGCAGCACATCACCTTTTTCTGCACCAGGGCGCTTCTTAAAGCTTCTCCCTCACCATCATCAGAGGCCCAGCAGCCCCGCACTCTTCTTCCTGACCAGTTTCTTCAGCTGCCAGCCGACCATGTCAGGCACGAAACGCAAGGCATCTTCTGCAACGGCTGGCAAGGATCACCGTGCCAAGCAGCAGAAGCTGGCTCCCGTCAAGCAGGAGAAGAAGGAGAAAGTTGGGGGCTGGCTGCAGAGTCTTGTGCAGCAGCAGAGATCAGAGAAGAAAGACGTGAAGTTCAACAAAAAGCGCCTGCGTTTTCTATCTGATACTGAAAAGATAAAGCAGGGCTCAGAGGGTGTCCTCTACTGGATGTTAAGAGATCAGAGAGTACAAGGTGACCCATCAAAGCAGAGCCAGCAGTGCAGCAATGGCGCAGCCTCTGTTTGGTTTGCATTTTCTCACTGTCTCTTCTCATGACGTATGTGCGCGTTCCCTCTGTGTGTTTAGATAACTGGGCACTGATCCATGCCCAGCGGCTCGCCGTGAAGGAGAACCTCCCTCTGCATGTCTGTTTCTGTTTGGTAGTGCCCAAATCAGAGCTGTCTACTCTGAGACATTACAGCTTCATGCTGAAGGGGCTGGAAGAAGTTGCAAAGGTACAAACATCAAAATGAACATATAGTGAATATAATACTATTCCTTTAAAGTAAATCCTGCACAGAGGGTGAGCTCTCAGAGTGCTTCTTGTTTTACATGTGTAATTTAAAATGCATTGTTTTATAAACAGCTTAATAAAAGGAACGTTGTGATAGAAACTTGTATCTATTGTTATATGAGATATA